TTTCAGCCCCGTATTCTCCTACTCTGGGTATGTCCATCTATTTTCCTCCTTGGCCATCCTTATAATGCTTAGTATGTGTTGTAGTATCACCCATTTCTGAGCTTTTGACTCGCTTCAGCACTCTCCGCCTTCAGGCGCTTCCTGTCCCGGTGAGTCATTCTTGCTGACATCTTCGCTTGATTTGATCGGTCATCAGCCTCTGTCCCCGGTGTCGATCCCGATCTCGAAAACACAGGTGTCCTGCCTCTTCCAGACACGCGCAAGATGCTTCGTTCCTCCAGCCCATCTATCTCGCGTCCCAAACGAGCCCATGCTCCTTTTTCGCGGCCTTCCCAAGAGAGGCCCATGCCGAGATCGCGCAGCAGATAATGGAGACCCACGTCCAAATCAAGGACATGGATGCAACTAGTTATTTCACAGTGCTCGACTCCCTCAACAAAGTTGCCCACTATGATGACATGTCAGGCCATTATCTGAGGGTATATGTAGGCAACCAATAGTATCTTAACTTACTTGTTAATCAGGCCTCAAATTAATTGCTTGTTGGCCAACTTTGAATCACATCAATGTTTTCAACCAATTTTTTTTTTTTTTGCTAAGTCCATTGGATCACGTGACCACATCCGACAAGCTTCAAGTATCATGGATATGTTCTTACGCAAGTCCTGACAGTCTTGTACACACATTCCTTTATAGCCAAACTCTGGAATAACATGTACTTTAGATGATTGCGCTACAGTCAGCCTCAATTTGCAGCCTAATATTCTCCAACGCCCAAGTCGCCTCCTTTACTCCCTTCTCCCACGATTCCAAAGATGTCGCCTCTCTTTTGCAGCCCCACCAATACAAACTAACCACCACACTGATCATGCCATTTAAGTACCCCCCAGACAAAGTAACACACCTTTGTGATCTGCGCGGCCACGATTTTGGCCAGTGCTGCTTGGTTTCGCACAATATTCCCATCTCGCATGCGGCATGGCCTTGAATGCCACACGCCTCTCTCGATCCTCTCTCTGCTCTCTCCTCTTCATCCTCTTCGTCGCTTCCCTTGTCATCCTCCTCTCCACTAAGCCTTGCCTCCGACGCCAAACACACTTTGGTCTGCTTCATGGCTCCTTCCAATGCTGGTGTGTCTTTGGATGTGGTTGCGGCCAGCATTGAAGCATTGGCGACAGCACTAGATGAGTCGGCGAGTTTGTGTCATCGAGATCTGGTAAGGGCTCCGCAGGTTCTGAAGTAGCTCCGAATTTGTTGTCAGCATCATCTAGCCCAGCGATGTCGATAGCACAAACGGTGGGGAAGGCACCCGCAAGCAAGCACAATTTGAGAAGTCAGAGACGCCAAACCTTGGCACGTGTGTGCGGCAAGGGCTGTTGGCGTCGGCCTTCCATCGCTGTTCACTGTGTGATAGCATATGCATGCATTTAGGCAAACCAAGAACCGTGGGTTCGACTCCCACATGTAGCAATGCCAATTGTTGCCGGCTCGCGCTCGTCAGCGTGATGCGGTGATGGTAGGCCGATTAACCGCGTTGCCATCTTTGCAGTGCGCAGCGCTCAAGATGGAGACGGAGATCACATGGATCAGGCACGCGCTGTGCGCTGTGGATAATGATTGCCGCGGCGCGTCGCCTGCGATAGAGGACTCCGATCCAAGGTGCCTTTGGCGTGCCCTGAGCCCACGGATCGCTATCAGCGAGCTCCGCCAATTCCGTGTATCGCGGAGCACGCAACCCAAGTAACTAGCTACGGGATGCGGGCGGGAACGGAGAGACGAGCAGCTGACGACGGACGTCGATGTGGGGTAAAGAGAGAAATGACGTGCCGGTGCGTGTGCGTGATGACGAGAACCCCCAATTGTAATTTATGATAATTATCGCCCGGAAATTGCGGATGGGTGCCCTTTGATCCCCGGGGATCTTCTGCGTTGCTGAGAAAGAAGTGCTGAGAAAGCTTGGCTGAGCAATATGAGTGGTAAGCGCACGCACAGGCCGCAGGCGGCGCGAGCGAGCACACCAACAGCGCACATGCGCCTAATAGTGGGCAGAAACCAGCACAAAGTCGCGCGCCAGCCACAAATTGCGCGCACCGGCGTTGCCTGCCCCACGGCGGCTAAATTGCGGGGTCGTCGCTGCTTACGTCTCCGCGCTGACCGGCCCGCACTGGCATCGCGCGCAAATCGGGGACTATTGCAACAGAAACCATTCAGTCACACTTTTGACGTATGGCGACGATTGCCGACTGTTACGCGAGGACCGGAGATGACAGACCAAGCCATCAGGCCCCCGAGGTAAGAATCAGATGGTCTTTAGGGCCGGTTCAGACAGATGCTTGAGACCACCTGGAAGCAAGTGCAAACATAGACTACTTATATGTGTAGTACATCGATGTTTTCATATACTAAATATTACGAAGCCCGAAATCCACCGAGACCTGTAAGCCGACCCGGCGCCGGCCCGGCGCTGCTCGGAGCCTGCTCCCCCACAGCCGCACCTGCAAGTCGGCTGGCTCACAATCGCTGAGCCAGACGATTTTAGAGCCGCTCGGGTGGCCAGTCTACAGTCTGAGCTGCCCCACCTGCCAGCGGAACTCACAAGCTTCTGAGCAGGTTGCTGGAAACCAGGATAAGGCCGCGCAGGGCCAACAACCGGCCCCTTCCCCCTAGAAATTTCAGGGAATAGAGCGACACTATGCCCCTCGTATTCCTGAGAATCTCAGGCGGAACGCGTGAGAAATGCGCCCAGCGCGCTCGAGTCTTCCCCGAGACGCGTCCACTGCCGAGCCTAGCCGATGCAGCCCGCCGCCGACGCCTGGGACGCGCCGAACACGATGAGACAAGTTCCCTGAATCTTCCTCGACATGGCCGGATCTGACCGAGGGCCTGTTTGGTGCGAAACGGGCAGTTTCCGGCCAAACACGGCGCGTAGCTGTCGGCCGGTGGATCCCCGCCAAAGTCCAGCATATTGACGAGGACATCGGCGGCCCTCCTCGAGTCCGTTTCCGCGTCGATCTGCGGTCGCGATCGCGCGGGGCGGTGTGTCTGAGTTCCTCCCGTTGAGCCCAAAGATCAGCGCCGAGCATTGAGGCCGAGTAAGCGTGTGCTGCTGGACATGAAGCAAATCACCAGTCAGTCTGAATATGGTGGCAAAACAAGAACGCACAGTGCAGTGGGATACTTGTGCGTAAGAGTAGAACTTGAAGGAGAGTTTGGCAACCTATTCGTCCACACTGTCCAGAAATGGAGCTAATGGTGGGTGCGGCCTCACGATCTCGACACCGGTAAGTAATGACTAGAGACAATGATAGGTAGTAGTAAATGTCTACAACGTAAACATCCTCACCTGTTCTGAGTTGGTTGTTGCATGTCGTAGCCTCTTCGTTACTATAGCCAGTAGGTCGCCAGAAATCGTAGCACCAAGTACCAGGAAAGCCGACTGCTTTAACTATTGTAGCACAAGTGTCAAGCGGGGGGGAAATGCATGGGGGGCAGCGCTAAACCTGGTGCCGTGCCGGTATGAATGTACTACGAAATTGGGCATGAGCCGCCCGACCGAGGGTGCGGCCAACTGGAAAGCGCGGCGGTGCTCTTGAACAACTGAATTAAAACGACACCAGAGTTCAATTGCGCGCACCTGTGCTGCAGGAGGAAGCGCAGGAGTCCATGGAGCTGGTGGCGGGTACTTATGGACGGGCTCACGATCTCGACTCTGATAAGTAGTAAGTGTGTCGGTGATAATGAGTAAATACCTGCGACGTAAACATCCTCACCCATCACAGCGCTCGCATCTGTCGGCCCGGGTGCTGCTGCTTAAGCTAAGACAGCGCGCGGGCGGTGCTAAACGCAACCGTACCTCGGTGGGACCCGCCATCCGATCCTTCGCGAGTCGCCAAACGGGCAGCGCTACATGCATTGAGAGCTGCAAAAAGCCTTTAGATAACACGACCAGGGTACGGGGAACACAATGCACCGTTGTATTAGGCGCGGATGGCCGCGCATACATACGCCAGACGTCTACACTGGCAAACTATACCGGCGGTCATGGGAAATAAAAATTCGGAGTTGTGCACTGGCGGCTTCGCTCACGCCGGGGCTGAATTTATTCAGTGAGTTGAGACTGTACAATAAGTATTGGTGATTTGGAACACTCACCGTTGGCCAAATGCGTGTTCGCGGAAGCGCTAATCATTGGCGCGAGAAACTGCCAACAAATACGAGAGCTTTTCGGCGCTCACTGCTGCGCACCGGTGCATGTTGGCGCGCCGACTGGGCCGAATCAGTTGCTTTGGATTTACAGTGAGAACAAAACTCGACTGAACTTCAAGGAAATGGACCACATTGGCCAAACCTGAACTCGATAATGCTTGAATGGGTACCCCGGAGCCAGTCGTCCTGTATCGCGCCAATATCGCGCTTTGCATACTTTGCTGCATCGTAAACTGGTCGACAGCAGGACTTGACACCGAGACACAAGAGAGTTTAACTGGTTTGTACCAGACACTCAGCCGAAGAACCCTAGCTATGAGCCTATGAGCAACGAGAGAGCCGGTTTGTAGCTGAGGAGTGGGGGTCGCGTTGTAACCATAGGAAGAGAAGCAAGAGGCGCGAGGCGCGAGGCGGCATATGATTGTGGCAGTCGGTCTGGGAGGACAGGCCGTTTGGAGGCCGTCGTGGGTGCGCTGGCAGGATCAGTGACGTGGATAGTCACGTGCCCCACGGCACGATAGCGGTACCACGGTGGCCTGGGGTCCCTGCTTGGCGGTCGGCAATCGTCGCCACACGTCAAAAGTGTGACTGAATGGTTTCTGTTGCAATAGGGGACATCCAAATCGGGAAGCTGATCTGAGCCGGCTCGCGTGAGTCATCCGCTTCGGGAGCGGAGCCGTTTGACGGCTGCCACGGGCTTTTTCTTTTCGCCACGCCCACGAGCAGCGGGTATATAAGGCGCTGCTGCGGGCTGGGCTGGGCCCACTTCCCGCCCACCGCAAGCTTGAGCGCAGATGCACTCGTCGCCGATACACGCCGCGTCCCTCGTGGACCCCGCCATGCACTCGCCTGCTGTTATGGAGCTCATCGGTATACGACTGACGAAGCCGGTCGTCGGTGCGTCGCCGCTTGCCTGCCCTTTCTCTTTGAGACTTATGTTTCTTTCAGAATACCTCATTGACTCAGTTGTCGAGACCGTCGACTGCGCCATGGGCCGTGCCTCGACACCGAGGGGCCGCAACCCGTCGCGCTACCTCTCCTCTTTCACCACCTTTGTGCACAACGTCCTCACTCGCGCCGAAGTCACGCCCGCCACCGTCCTCGCCTCCCTCGTCTACATCTCCCGCGCCCGCCCCCATCTGTCCATCGCGCTTGAGGAGTGGGCGTTGGAGCGCGTCTTCCTCGGCGCGCTTATCGTCGCCTCCAAGTACACGAACGACTCGACGCTGAGGAACATCCACTGGGCGCTCTGCACGGGCGTCTTCGGGAGGCGGGACGTGGGCCGGATCGAGCGCGAGTTCCTCGAGGTGCTCGACTGGGAGCTGGCCATCAACGAGGCCGACTTGCTCGCGCACCACCCCGCGCTCATGGCCGTCGCCTTCCCGTCCACACTCCCTCCCACTTCCTTCGTCCGCACGCACACCCGCCACGCCTCGTCCCCTGCCCTCCCCGACCTCGCCCCGAGCTCGCCGGGCTCGTCGCTCGGCTCGTTCTCGCCCCCCACGCCGCTGCCGCAGCACGTGTCCGTGGACGTTGTCCCCCAGCAGAAGGGACAACTGGGCGACCTCATCCGCGCGTTTCCCACTCCTATCACCATCCGCCACCACGCGTAAACTTCACGCCCTTGGCGTCGTGTTTCCTGCAGCCCGCGATCCGCGCGAATGAGTAGCGCCTTTCGCCTACCCTTGGTGTCTTGGCCCCAGCGCCGCAGCGTGCCGCTCGACGATTGCTTATGTCGCGGCCGTTGCGCCCTTGCTCGGTATATATCCGCCCTCTCATCCAACTCTCATCTATGGCCTTTGCATGGACGACTCAAGGCATACAACGGGCCCTCCTTTTTGGTTTCGTATTACGGTTTACCTACCTACCTACCTATCATCGTATATAGTGTACAGCGTTTAGTTACTAGCTTTCGGAAGAAAATAACAACGTGTTTTGTACATTTGTGCTAGGTTGCGATCGCGAGCAGCCGCATCCATACCAACAGGAGCGATGCAGGGCACGCAACGAAGGTCCTTGAAAACTGAAAACTGAAAACTTCTCATCCGTGTTTTTTTTCGAGTCTCGTATGTTGCTCGGATGACCCGGAGCCTAGTTCTTTGCAATTGCTTCGTCGGGTGGCAACATCTTTCGCCCAATTGCATTTTTTCGGTCAATTCGCGCCGCCCGCCGGCTGGTGTCCTGGCCGGGACTCACACACGTGGGCGTCCGGCGTTTGGGCCTGTCGTGTGGCGTGCCCGAGTGGCGGATGGACGACAGCTTGCGGGCGCGCATGCGCGCGTTTTGGGGACAAGGGCCTGTCGCACGTGAGTCGGGGGACGCACACCGCTGGCACATGCCGCGCTGACGCTCGCGGTAGAGATGGACGGGCGGCTGATGCAGAGAGCGCCGAGGTACGTACGCGCGATGCGCCATCACCCCAGAGAGCCCGAGGATACCCCGCCGACAGATGCGAAATGCCGGCCCACAGGCATCGCCCAGCGGCAGCCACATCCAGATTCCAGACCGCGTGGAAGTCGGGCATATCAAAGTGGGCGCAGCCCGGCGACGCACGTGGGTCGGCGCTGCGTTCTGCTGCGTTCCAGCGTCGCACGATCACGATCGGCGATGGCTGATTCATTCGGGCAGCCGAACCGGAGCCTCTCGGCGCTCATCGAGGGTCCGCTTACTTAGGGCGTGACATCCGGCCAGGCGCCTCCGCACCACGCACGCCGATCACCGTCTGAGCTCAGCTGCGCCCCTGCCTCTCCCTGCCTCCGCGGTCGGATGTGTGAGGCGTAATCGGTGATGACGCGATGCCCTGCCGCTGCCGTGATGGCGCACACAACAACGGGAGGCAGATCGGCGGAGCCGCGTGCAGCGCGCGCGACGCGAGGACAGGGCCCAGGGCCGTCGTGTGGTGGGTGGAGTGGGAAAGCGCGCGCTGCGGTAAGCGTGCGCCTGGCAAAGAAGCGGATGCGTCTCGAAGCGCAGTACATGAGCCGGCCCGACTGCCTGGCGCCGGAAGGTCCGGACCGTGCTGGGCCGCGTCTCGAGCGCTTCCATTCCAATCAGCTCCGCGAATGGACTGGGTGGATCGCTGAGCCGGTTTGCGCGTGAGGCGCGCCTGCGCCATCGATTATCGCATCACATCCCGTCGACGATCAATTTTTTTCTTTCTTCTTTTTTTTCGACGAAGCTGCGAATGCCGATCATGGTCCTGCCGATTCCGAGTCATGGATCGCCCGAGTTATCGATATCGATGTGCAGTGACTCATGCGCCGTGCTGGCTTATGCTTCCGAATGACTTCACAGATGCATTGATAATGAAAGTCATGAACGACATGATATTCGAGTCATAACTACTGTGCATAGGCAAAGTCCATACATGAGTCGATGAATCTACCGCAGGTGCTCGGGCCTGGGGTATGCCGGGGGCGGGTACAACGGCTATAAGCGTCATCAGAGTGTTTTCTCAGTCACAAACCGGTACTCACAAGGGCAGCTTCGGCCTTGCCCGCCTCGGTCGTGGAATACGGCGTCTTCAAGGGCGGCGATGCGACGTAGCGCGGCGGGGGCGCGTCGTTCTGCGTTGCCACCCCCGCGCCCCGAGATATGATAGTTTGGCGACGCGTACGGCTGTGGCGGCACTGGCAGCTGCAGCCGCACGCGCAGCAGAAGACGAGGAAGAGGAACGCTGCGACTGGCGGGCGCGTGAGTGGCGGCGGATACTCGTATTGGAATGGGGCAGGGTGACGCGTACAGATGGAGAACCCGATGATCCAGCCGATCTTGGCCAGCGAGGGGTGCCTGTCGTCGTGGTCCGCGACGAGGAGGGTGCGAAGGATAGTGGGCATCGCTGGAGGGAAGATGAGTGGGTTGGGGAGAGAAAGTAGAGCAACGCGTACAGGTAATGGGGGTATAAGAAGGGCGCGCGGGCAGTGCTTGCAGGGGCGAGCTCAGGCTGTTCTAGTGTTCGTCACGGGACATGGCTGTTGACGCGCTAGACAGCTTTGAATTCGAAGACAGCCGCCGTTCGTTCGTCTTCTTGGTTTCTAGCACATTCCAAGGCGGTGCTGAGAGTCGAATGAGTGGAGGATCCCGAGCACCGCTTGATGACACAATGATGACAACGGGCTTACGCGTTTTCGACACACCACAGCGAGCCAGCTAGGGGCGGCGACGATGGCGCGGCGAGTCATGCCGGCGCCTGATATCCGGGCCGTCCGGCGCCAGCAGCAGTCCGTGCAAATGCCAGCTCATGCCTGCCAGTGGAAGTATGACTCGATTCGAATGTCGGGGTGGGAGGTGACCAACAGTGGCTCTCGCCAGCGACCAAAGCCGGAGTCGCTTCGGGGCAGGTAGACGGGGCTGCGACGCTCGAGGAGTCGAGGAAGGAAGAGAAGAAAAATGTGACACGGTCACTGATCGATCGTGACCGTGACCGTGATCCGCCATCTTTTCTTTTTCGCACCCGTCATCTGCCAGACTGGCGCCAACGAGCACAAGCCTGATGTGCTCTCCCCACCCGCTGCTGCGCTCGTCGATGGACGCGCCGGGCTTAGCATCGCCCATTCTCTTCTCCTCGCTGTCGCTGTCGCTGCCGGTGACGGTGACGGTGACAATTGGGCTCGGCGGCAGTGTAGACGACGTCCTTCTCGACGACGGGCGCACGGTGCGTCTGCGATTTATCCGTCGCCACGAGCAGCTCTTCACGCCTCCCTCATCAGACGGCCTTTTCAGCGCCGAAGTAACGGCGGGGTCTGGTCTCGGTGCAGCCTTCCAAGTTGGGTGAGGCTCGGAGGGACGCTGGCGGCCGAATGAGAGCACCGGCAGCTACAGGAGATCCGGGTCAGGGTGTATGCAACGCACACGCGCGACACGGGACACGGTGCGTCGGCAGTCTCTCATTTTGTGCATGGGCTCATGCCGCGAATGAGCTATGGCAGACCAGATCGCGTTCAATATCATTTCGACTCGGATTCGTGCCGCGCAGGCTACGTCACTCTGCGCCAACCTCTAATACACAACCGTCATTCACCCTCAGGCTCGAGCGACAGCGCGTTATCCTCCAACGGCCCGCGACCCACTTGTGCATTCCAATTTCCTGCGCGAAGCTCCGAATACACACCATCCCTTCTTCAAATCCCCACTTTCTCCCATTTGGTATCTGTCGTCCTTCTCACCCTCCAAGGCTCCAATTGGGACACTATTGCGGCCGGAAGCATCTACAGCAATATCACTGCCAGGCTTAATTCCCTTGCCCTTGCTGATTTCTTCGGCTCGCCTTCTTCCGGTTCTACGCAGACTCGGACTGCCTTCGATAAGCGGTCTGCCCAAGTCAATGGTCGATTGTGGCATGATATCGGGGGGTGCGGATCATGCGAGGGAGGTATCGACCGTAATAAGCGGTGTTGCTCGATGCAGAAAGTGAAGAACAGCTATTCCGAATGAAGTCCAAGATATCTCAGAACAACAGGATACAGGGTCGCATCGAGCTGATGTCTTCGCGATCCGCTGCGGACGGCTTCTCCCGCCACACCATATCGCCGCTGGACGATAGCTGTATTGTTTGATACGATGCCGTCTGACAACAATGTGATTGGGCCGGTGATGTGTCCAATTTTGGTGGTGTGGGCTGATCGCCGTTGGCGTGCATGGCCATTGTCCGCTCCCAAAAGGCGCACAGCAACCAGTGTAGCCGCCACGAGGCGAGCTGGGCCAGCTCGCAGGCCGGCTGATTGGCGCGCTCTGAAAGGACAATGGGCGTCTGCAGATGGGCCTGTCATCGGCTGTCGTTGGCACGCAGACTCCCTTTGTGCGTGCGCCTCGAGGCACAGAGGGACGATCGGCCGAGTCATACGCCGTCGCTTCGCGAATCACCAGAACGACGACCATTGTTGGCACGACTCGGATCGATGGACATCGAAACATTCCACTTACCAACCATATTGAATCACTTCTCGAATGACTCGCTCCAAATTATAAGTCGCCGGATTGACACACGGTTGGCGCCGATCGCGTTTTTACTCTTTTTTCGCCATTGTTTGGTAACGAGCCGGAGGAAACGCGCCACCTTGCCAGTGAGCCGAGGGCTGAACTTGAAGGCGGCGCCTACATTACGCGGCGGTTTCCGGGTATTCCCGTCCGGCGTTGGAGCCCGCGCCGCCCGACGCCCACGTCGGGAGCGGACTCCGAACGCGAATAATATGGATAAGTAACACGGAACGCGCTCTGAATGGGAAGATGCGATGGTTGTCTGCGGATCATTGGGGCATTTTTTCCGTCGCCGAGCCAAGGCTCGCGAGAAAAACATATTGAACGCCCGCCTCATGCCAGGCCCTCGAGAGTCGACCTTCGACGTCTGGCCATGGGCTGTTGGCGGCCTTTACTCATATATCCCCCAGGTCTTTCCAAAATTCTAGCAATAAAGAAAAGCTATGCATGGCGTTGCCATGCAAACGCAAACGACGTCGCCAACCGTGACGCCGTTGACCGCTGATTACCACAGCGCTGGGTTGGATGGCCATCGGTTCGTGTCCCGCCCCGACGCGAATGTGGGTTTGATGTGGGTCCGATTCCAGCGTGTCCTGCCCGCGGACAGTAGATCGACCGAGATTTTGATTGTTGAATTACCGGTGTGCCAGGGCTGGCGCCGATCATAACACTGTTACACTGGGCGTGCCGAACGAGTTGATATGTTGCGATTCGGTTCGCCATTGTGTGCGCCAGGTTGAGTGTTCTTGATTCGGCGGTGTCAAAATGACAATTTTGACACCAAACAGAGTCCGTCAGTGCATCGAACACAGGGAACGGACTTCAAGTTCAAGCCATAACTCCCGACGTCTTCCTCAGCTATGGACCCCACTGGGTGATTCGATGACACGAAGGCTGAAATAAGATATTCGAGTAGCGCAATCAGAAGGCGAAGATACAGCCTGGAGGAAGCCGCAATCCCCGGAAGCGCGTCGTGCGTCGTGCGTCGTGCGATAGAGCGTATTTACGCACGGAAGGACGCGCTCCGACTCGGACGCCCGCGTGCGCAAGGTTCCGGTGCCGGTGCCAAGCTGCCCGAGGAAGCTTCTGCGCCGGCTCATGCGATTAGGAAGGGCGTCAGCATGATGTGCTGGCTCGGATGCGGCGGGGCCGAGCGTGCTGATGCATTAGGCGTCGAACTGGCAGGTGCAGGTTATCATTTGATGTCGTTGGCGGGCATATAGTGGACCTGGTGACGCGACTATGCCTGCACATCGTTCCTGGCCAATAGCCTGAGCCAGTGCAGGAACGGGCGGTGGCGCAGACGGGGGGCGAGAGCCTGGCTGGGGCAGGAACGACGAGCCCAGAGTCTGAGAAGTCAATTATAAGCCGCCAGCGAGGCGATTTGGCTGCCGATTAGCAGTGGTAGGCAGATGGACACCTCGCGCAGCGGGACTGGCAGCTGGTAAGTACTAGCGTTGATCGTTAGGCAGGTCCTTCGTTCTTGTGCCGCGGACAGCGAATTCAGACTCCGCTTCGATGCGATTCATCGAGTTGACGACCCAGTGCCAGTTCAATCTTTGATAGAACGCCTGCGCTGCGTGTGGCGCTCCCTGTCTGCGACAAGCCAGGTCGCTTGCGCCTTTGCTGCGGCTCTGCACTCTCCCGGCGCGGGTTCGACTCCCGTCCGGAGTCTCGGGGCTGGATGAAATTGATGTCCCCTTTTTGCGTGTGCGCCGCAGCCATATCCCGCTTGACCGCCTCGGAATGGTCGCGGCCGCTGCAGCATGCGCGCTTTCTTGATATATATTATCATATCCTTCGGACAACATCACGGACTCGAACATCTGCATCGCATACAAGTACAAGTACAAGCAACCCTCGTTTTGGTTACGGTTTCCTTTACACGTCGTATATATATTGTCGTATAGTGTGGTACCAGTTACAGTAAATAACTCAAAGTCGTCTTAGCAGAGAATCGAATAGCGAGCATTTCGGAATAGCGCTAAATCTTCGTGGCAAGATCGTGATACCATTAACTTGGGCATCGTGCACATAAGTGCTGTAGCACAAGCATAACCCCACAAAGGTGTACCACTTCGTTCTCTGCGTTCGACACGCTAGTAGGGCAGTGATGTATTCGCAAAGCTGCGTGGCTTAAGTTTTTTTTCTCATGGGCCATGACCGATGCAGCACGGCCGAGGGGCGCTGAAATACAGTTATCAACGGTGCCAACGGAGGTCTATTGTCCTTTCAGAGTCGGAGCGCCAATCAGCCGGCGTCAGGGTGTGAGCTGGCCCAGCTCGCCGCGTGGCCGCTATAGCCTATCAGTAGCGACGCCCGTTGCTGTGCGTGGTGTTCGGGAGCAAGAGAACAATGGCCACGGCCAACGGTGATCAGGATACAGGAATCGCATTGTTGTCACTGGCAGACGGCATTGTATCAAACAATACAGCTATTGTTGTGATATAGTGCGGCGGGAGAAGCCGTCCGCGGTGAATCGCGCGGATATCAGCTTGATGCGACCCTGGATGGCGGTGGCCGAGTGGAGATGTTGTTGGTAGGCTAAATGAGGCCCATAAATTCGAAATGGCTGACGTTGGCTGCTGTGCACACTAACAGGTACTGTACTATTTCAATCAATTAGTCCTGTCACGGTCACATTGACTTTTTTGGCCGAAAATTTTCTGCCTGTCACAGGTCACAGTGAATTTCTTTGGTCCCAAACCGTCCCAAAATGGTAATTTCCAAAAAGTTCCGCGCCTACGGCGTGCAGAACTTCCATATAAGGCAGGAGGTCACACCCAATTCAGCCCTTGGCTGAATTGCACATTTCTGCCACATGTGTCACAGGTCACAGGCCTGCAGAATTGAATGAAATAGTACAGTATCTCCCATTATGATGTTCCTGCACAAGAAGCCCGCGGGTACCAGGAAAAAAAAGTAAAGGAACATACTTACATTGAACCTTTTGTTTAAGTCCTTCCAGGGATAGCATCAGACGAATATTAATGGAACTACAGAATCCTAGCTATCCATATATATTATATCTTGTAGGGTATTGTTCAATAACATCAGGAAAAACCTCCTTTGGTAATGTTTGGTATTCCTGTCTTACTCACCTAATATTACCCTCAAGTACTAAGACTTACCCAAAATTACCCCACTTAACTCCTTTAGCTTTTTTACCTAACCCCCCCCTGATATTTTAACCACATTACCTAGGGTTATCTTATTATAGCCTGACCTTACCTACCATGAACTGACTTTAACATGAGCTCATGATAGATTATCTGCCTCAGGACTACTTGATTACACTCAAGACCAACACAAATACAAGAAAATGAATATATTAATAGGCAAGTAAATGAAATTAGGTAGATATTAAAGGGACTCTATGTAGATACTCAGTTGCGATATCGTTACACAATCCATCTATATATCAACTTCTCATACATTCAATGTAGCCTGGGTTAAGCCGGATTCTGGTGTCTGTTCAGACCAGGCCAGAGGCATGATTAAGTTGTGAAGGTCAATTTTTTCATGGTCCACTATTAATTCTAATGATAATTTTACATGCTGTATCTGATCATTAGAGAGGAGTTACGAGTAAAGACATGCACTGGACAGTCTGCAAGATTAAGTACGGTCCACCCATGGGTTAATCTGGGGTGGAGGGTGTTCAATCTGACACCTTATGCCTAGGCACATTCCTGCTAGGATACATCTTCCTTGTTGTTGTGTCCATCATATTCTGGGCCAGTGTGGTAGATAAGATGATAAGGGTTATCAAAAATAGGGTTAAGTATTTTCCAGATAATGATATACCCTTATCTTGTGGCCAAGATAAGACCCTTGATATGTGGCAGCCATTCAGGCCTGCTTGGGCCTGCATTTCTGCCGTGCTCCTCTGAGTCATAGCTCCTGTCAGGGGAACCCTCTTTCGGCCCGTCAGAGTTGCCCCGACTACTGATCGTATCACCGCCTCTATCAGGCGCATTGCCGCCCCCGCCTGGCGTTTCCCCTGGAACCTGGCCTGCAATATGGCGCGGGCATACTGCACAGAGCAAGCATCAACCTTGGCCTGTCAAGAGCGCAGTATATAGTTCCGCTACCTAGCAGGCAGACCCCTCCCCTGTCAGGACCTTGATCCAGGGTACCGGTGATAAGCCGCAGTCTGCGACAGACCAGGAAACGACTATTTTTGTCGATTTTGTTGCTCAGCGCACGTCTCAGAGTTGACATGAGTCCCGAATGGTCAACTAGGGAATTACCTGCACAAGAACCAGTCAAACTCCAGTCAAAATCTATCAAATCGCTCTCAGTGATTCCAAAATCTTGACTAGGAAAAGTTCAGAGAGCCCGTTCTACGCTAGAATCTATCCAATTCTATGCAAAATACCCAAAGGGAGTGTATTCTAAAAAGGCATATTCGGTTTGGCGCTCAGTGGAGACTCGAGATCGACTTCTCCTAGATA